ATTATTTATTATTATTATTATTATTTATTTTTTTGAGAGAGAGAGAGAGCACACATTTACGCCTTACCCAAAAAGATGAGTGCTTACAGAGAGTAGGGATATAGGCATGTCTGTTGTTAACAGGTCCAATAGTGAAGCCTGTGTATCCCGCCATGGCACCATGCACAGCCCCATGTGCAAGAAGGGTGCAGTATATATTGTCAGATGCATTGCTCGGTATTGCACGGATCATGTATGTTGGGTCTACAATAAGAGAGGTGCATATTAATCCGCCAAATGTTCGGTAAAAAAAAATTGTGCACATGGTTTCAAAGTAAAAGGACAAAAGAAAAAAGGAAGTGCAAACAATAATTTTTACTCTTCTAACTTAAGAGACTACTACTAATCCAAGATAGTCAGATATCGTTATGGATATGGAGGTGGATAAGTATCCTATTTGACACATCGGAGTGTTACTATAGGTGGCATGATACATAAATAGATATTCTATGCAATACAATATTGCGATGAATGATATTATATTCTGTTCATATTTCATTTTTTTGTAATTATTGAATTCAATATTTCAGGTATCCTTGGAGTATCTGTATTGGTGCTGAGACAATACGAGACCAGAATCTAAGTATATAGAAGTATTTATGCATCACTACTACTGAGTTCAAGGTGTCAAAAATGCAGTCATTGATTTGGCAGAATTACGATCAACCTTCTTAATACATAGTTTGGTTGACATTTGAATGCTAAAACAATGTTGAGTGATCGCTACCTTGCACACTCGTATACATGCACTTGAACACTTGCATACATGCACAATGTATTACTTATCCATCCAAACAGATGACACAGGGAGGGAGGAGAGAGAGAGAGAAAGATATTGGCATCTTTTGGGGTGTAAAACAAATGCTGCTCGCATCCCAAGCAGTTAAATAACTAAGAAAACACATTGTAGGATGTATGTAATGGTATGACAAGACAACTTTCTCTCCAGATGCAATATAAACAAGTATGTGCATAAGCTTCCTATACCCAATTGCACTTTACAGAGAAAGTGCACCAATGAGTGTGTCTGTGTATCCATGTATGTGCGTGTATGCATGTACACACACATATTTATGTACGTGTATATATATATATATATATATGTATCAATGTTGTTAAATTCGTTTTGCTTCGGCCGAAGCCTTATGTTTTACCCAATCAACCAAAGTGAAGCAAAGAATATTTCACAATTAAATTCCATGACCCTGAAATTTAGCATTTTACACCGAAATCTTGCATGTTTCGGCAGAAGAGACATATAATGTCGATACGTGTCAATTGAGAATGTGAAAGCTTTGGTCATGATGATAGGGATTGGGCTTTGTACATATACGGATAATTTCAATGATGGAACAGATTGGTCTTTGACTCTATGTACGAAGCATACTGAAATTTGGAAGGGTATGAGTTGAGATCCAGAAAAATATTGAATGACGTTTTGAATATTTCGATGAGGTTTTCCCAAAAGGCCAACCGACATTAAGTCACCGGATGTTGTCTGTCATTTCAATTTCAATCGATATTATATTTTGATATTATCCATTTGTAGAAAATTTCGTTAGTAAGGTTTTTTTTAAAAAAATTCAATAAAATTATAAAAATATCTATTTTAAAATTTTTTTTAAAAAAAACAAAGTCTTCCTATGAATTAGCCGAAACACGGAATTGTTTCATTTTTTAGACCCAACCGAAGCAGACTCCATAGCGAACCTGACAACATTGGTATATATGTATGTGTGTGTCTATATATATACATGTGTGCGTGTGTCTATATATATACGTGTGCATGTGTTATATGTATATTGCACCTATTAGTATAATAATTGCAATACAAGATACTAGGCCTCTTATGAAAATCATGAGACAAGCAGGCACCTTGTCCAATACAAGACAAATATTCTTCCCCAAAGAGGTGGAAACAAATGGGGTATTAGCGTTTACAGCTTATTTCATACGCCAAAAACACTTCCTCTTTTTACTTTTTTGAACATGTTAACCCAAGAACACTTCTTGCGCACAAGAAATGAGAAAACCTGGCTCAAGTGTTTCTAGTGTGTTGGTTCGTAAGAAGCACATGCACTCTAAAAATTCAAGTTCATGATTTCTAGGGTGCTGAAATAACGAGTTCTCACAAGCTGTTGAGCATTAAAAAAACAAAGTAAACAATAAACTCAAATGCTGCATGTATGGTTTCGCCTTCTCGTGAAGGAAGCATTTACCTACGTACTTGAGATTTACTGTCATCTTGCGGTTTGTTGTAAAATGGTCCTACAAAACAGAAAATAGAAGTCTTCAATAAGAAGGCATATGTGATTAGTTTTACTATAATTGTGCTGAAATAGAAGATACAGATTCAATTTATCAAATAGGTTTCAGCAGTTCATACAAGTATATGGCAGAATCTTCTATATATCAGCCCTTAAACATGTATTTGTAGTCCCAATGATAACTATCTGACAGTGTATATCAATATCAAGGTGGAGTTTTAAGGAGCATTCTAGCCAGTAAACTACAGAAAAAACATAATCCAGTGGATCACTGATGTTGATTGAAATGATGGACTATGATGAAGAGAAAGTAGTTACCCCCAGAACAGAAAATGACCCTAAAGGTGGGTGTCCCATTCTCTCAACATCACTGTTCATTACATTGGATGGCAATGGCCCCATTGATTATGCTTCTTCCATAGTCCACTGGGCTATGATAAATTCCAGACATTCATGAACATGGAAATCCTTACTTTGACATTTTGAGCAAGCCATAGCCCAACGTCATGGAGTAACTGATTCCCAGATGCATCAGTTTCATCAACTGCCCGCATGGATTGGGCAACAAGCTCTTGCCCTGCACCTTCTGCTAACACAACGACCATGTGACCATTTTCTTTCAGTCGCTTTTCTATGAAGTCAAACAGCCCCCCTTCTCCCTCTAGGTAAAATGGAGATTCAGGAATCAAGCAACAGTCCTGGAACATTAGCAGGAAAGAAACTCCCATAAGAAAATTAAACTATGCTGCAGGAGAAAAATAGGCTGAGCAATACATTTAGGGGAAGTATATTGTAATCACTAATGGAAAACAATAGTCCACTGAGATCATCATCATCCAGTGAAATAATGGATGGTGATGAATAGTGTTGGGCCCATCACCAGCAGCATCATGCCTTGTTCTGCCAGGTCCCTTCTCTCTCTCCATTGAAGGCCATTTCATTGGACGGTGATGACCTCAGTGGACTTTCCAAGGTCCTTCGGTTTATAATATGCTTTTCCATAGATTTTTATGAATAGGTTAGAAAGGGAGAAAGTCGTTAGATAATTGCCGTGATAAAAAATGTCAGTCTCTTACCACGTCCCTGCTTGCTAGAGTTGCATACATGGCAATGAATCCTGTAAAAATTAAAGTAACAATAAGCATTGAGGTAACTTATTGCTACAACTATCCAAACAGAACTTCATTCAACGATAATTTCCATACAGAAATCCTTGTACTTTAATTGATTAGAAGACATGCAATTTTCTCCATTAAAAAAACAATTTTATTTATCCAAAAAAGTGCCATTTTCCCAATTAAAGAATTTGTACTTCAGTTATGATTGAGCATCAAATAGATAGTGAGAGGTTTGGGATAAAGAAATAATGACTTACCACTGTAACGACCCATTAGCTTCACAATACCCAGACCATTGTCAACACTTTCAGCTTCCACATGTGCTGCATTAATGGCTCTCTGAGCTTCTTCTACAGCAGTGTCAAAACCAAAAGACTTGTCTATAACCTATAATCCACGCACCATACCAAATGAAAATCGAACATAAATAATCTCATAACTATATTTTTTGCTTGCAAATTTAAACTTACAGTGATATCATTATCGATAGTCTTGGGGATTCCAGCAACCGACACTTTCAAACCACGTCTCTCAATTTCCTGTAATTAGAAGCATCGATTCAGCCAAGCAATTTTCATTAGAGAGTAATAAGCACAACCACCAAAGAAGACAATCAACATATAATAAATCTTACAAATTCTTTATACAAATATTTTGGTACCTTATATATTACAGATGCTCCTTTCTGTGTCCCATCTCCTCCTATTATGTAGACCTATGATCCCCAAATTAAAAACAGTATTAATAGTCAAATCATGAATTACATAAATGATTTCCATGAATCAAAATAAATAAAGTAAGGAAAGTAGTTAGAAGTAAACCAAGTAGGACTTCAAACCTGATTAATCCCTCGGTCTTGAATGCTATCAACTATTTTGGTGGTGTCATGACCTCCTCTTGAAGTACCAAGGATGGTGCCACCACGTTTATGGATATCATTGACAGACTTGGGGCTTAAAGGAATCGTGTTACTTGAATAAAATCCTCTATATCCACCCTGCCAAAGTAAAATTTCCAGCAATATGGGTGCCAAAATAGATATCTGAAATTAAAATTTCTTTGATTGGTAGGCATGAGATTCAACTCAAAAACCTACAAGTGAAAAAATACAAGGCAATATAGTCCTAGGATTTGAGTTGGAGATTGATTGGTTAATTTGCTGACATTGCAACACCATATCCCAAGTTCAAATCCCACCACTGAAAGAACTACCTTAAAAGAAGGCGATATGGTTATCAAAGTAATCCTTGCTTTTCCAAGAAAGACGAGCTTTCAAACGTCCCCTTCGAGTACAACGGCTTCTAGTAATTAAAACTATACTGTTAATCATAAACCTTTCTTGTAAACTAGAAATTATAGGGATTTGTTTAAATAATCTGATTCCTTTTAAGGGAACAAATCTATCGAATTTTATTTAAGAAAAACAATAACAGAAAAATATAGAACTTATAAAAAGGAGAAATGTCCTTAAAATGGCACAAGAGGTTGAACTATAACAACCCCAAAATTACTTAATGCAGAATAGGAGAGAGGTATGTCTAGTAAAGGATGCACCTTTATCCCCATAATTTCAGTAACTCCATACATGTAGTTCAAACCGCATACAATCTCTCGAATCACCGTATTAATGCCCGGGCAGAGGCCCCCACATGTTACTATGCAAGAACAAACTTCTTCTGGTTCAAAATATACCTGAGAATTCTCATAGAAATCATAAATAAATCAAACAATGATGTTCATTATCATTTATGAACATTGTTTTCAACATGTATCACACCTTTTCTCGAGGGCCTGCACGTCGAAAATGGGTCCCTCTTGGACTACCCTTTCGAATAACGACCTATGGTGCAAAAGAACAAAAAGTCCGTATAACTGAGAAGTTGGGAACTAACTACCAATAAATAGTATAAATGAATGCAACCCAGACACTCCTAGCTGAAGTGCTGAAGTATCAGGTGTCCACATGTGTGAACACTTTGACAAAGCGTCAACTCACCCACACATCGGGTTATTGAAAAAATACATAGCGTGCATGGGCGGGGTTTGAACCCTAGAACATCGTATGCCAAATTCGTGAAGCTTATTGCTGTGCCAATCACATCTAAGTGTAATAATATGAACTATTATTCTATTATGGACATGTCTCATTGTGTTGGACTTCTAGGCCAAAGTATTAGACACTTAGACACACATCAGATTCAAATACCCTGTCCATGTTTAGGTAAGATAGGTATAAAACACAAGATTTGAATTGCGACCATGAAAAAGAGGTTGTTTTTCTCATTTAATGATTTCTTTATAATCTACAAATTGGGGAAGGGCTCACTCTTTGGGAGACCACATCTTCTGGGTTGACAAAATCTTGCCTGATAAAGCCAAATATCAAAATTTAGAATCAAAGCAAAACACTCTAACAAACAAAATAAAAGATGGGTCATTTTTATGGAACTATCAACAATGCCCTTTTTATGAATTTTTTGTTTTTTGTTTATTTCTTGAAAAACAACAAAAACGCACAAAAATTATTTAAAAATTACTAAATATGTGTACTTACTCAACAATTGCATAGGCAGGACTCTTTTTCAAAGGATTTGGATAAGTCTGCAACAAAAATCATCACAGTATTGTAGACCAATTAGGACAAACATATCATCTCTTCATTCAAAAAAGAAAAAAAAAAGAAGACAAACATATAATCCACATTTCTCTTCTCTTTTAACTGGAAAACAAATCCTAATGTGAATTGTATATTATTATTTAATTACTTGTCAAATGGATTTATATTATATAAAAATAGAATCTTATGCGAATGAAAAATAAAAATGTATTCATAAAAGTCCCACTGTCTAAAAGGAAAAAGAGAAAAAAAAAATCTTCATTTTTTTCATAGTGAAAAAGCAACGTTTAAATCTACAAATAAAAGTTTTAGAAATCAAACAATAAGATCCAGAAAATTCTTTATGGTAAAGAACACCAAAGTTGACTGCTTTACCCTAGAGATTTGGGACAAAATAAAACCCTAATCAACCAAAAAAGTTGCAGAAAAGTAAAGACACTTTAGCAAAAACGATCAAGAAAAAAAAAAAAACTTTAAGCATAAGCTCACGTGCAAAGAAGGGAGGAAATCAGTGAGGTGGGGGACGTCTTCTAACACAAACCCATCATCCTCGATCTGTAACTTCGCCTTTATCGGGAAACTCGCCGGAAACCTCAGATCTCGCCTGAAAACCAGCTTTTTGCTGGAAAAACCAAAAAGTTTTATGGGGTTTTGAGCTGGACGATCGAGATGAATTCGAGGCCTTCCTTTGCAGAATCTAGAGAGAGAAAGAGATATTTGAGGTCTACTGAGGCTTGCCGTCTCCATATTAATGGAGCCCTATGCTTACAGAAAAATGAACATCTCTTCTTATATTTGAGGTCTACTGAGGCTTGGCGTCTCCATACTATGCTTACAGAAAAATGAACATCTCCTCTTATGTTGGAGAGAAGGGAGGTTAGAGTGTCCCGTAAATAATTACTCTTTTACCCTTTTATATTTATGAGACAGAGTAAATATTGTAGGGCATTCTAGTCATGTAAATATTTGCTCGTTTAATCGTGGTTCTAGCAATAATGATTATCTTGGGGGTGGCAACGGGTCATACTGGGCCGAAAGTTTAAAAAATATGTATGTATTTAGATATATTTAAATGTTTTATAAATGTGTAATAATTTTGTAGGACTCTCCTCCATTCATATGTGTAGGACCTCAAAAGATACCATTAAAATTGATACGGATCTTTAAAAAAATTATCATATTGGTGTGGAATTTAACTTTTATATAAACCCGTACTAAATTTATTGGTGATCATTTGGAGCCCTACATATACGGATGGGAGAAGATCCTATAAAATCATTTCTCTTTATAAACTATGACCTGAAAATATGTGTGGGATCCATACCTGATTGGACCTAGACCTAAATAGTGTTCGGATCCAAAATTTGGATCCATACCCAAACTTAAGTCGGGTCTACCCTTCAAGTCTCGGATCAAGTCTGGGTTCATTGCCACCCTTACGGATTGGCTAGTTTTGTCTTTGAGTAACTAAAAAGGCAATCTAGATTGAGAATACTGGATCCTTATTGTGCATTGTCGGTTAAGGTTAGAATGGGCACATTGGTGCAACTCAACCTTGCTCGACCTTAGAAGACTAGGGCTTGGGTCACAAAATATGGCCTTAGGGTCAAGCCAAGGCCAAGCCACCATAGCTCGAGGACAAGTTCGAGTCAAATCTGGGCTTGCTATGTGACAAGGCCGAGCCGGTTCATCTCGTCTCGTCCTAAGCCTTTTTTTCTTATTGTTTTTCTCCTGACCTGGCCTCTTTGGCCCTTTCAGGGCCAAGCTGGGCTCAGGAGATCCTAATAGGGCCTAACGCCAGGATTGGCCCAGTCCAAACCTGATGATTGCCACCCAATTGTTGATCTGGATAGGATTTACGGTCATCCCGTGTCCTCCAGGAATGCAACGCAAGGGTGGACAAGGCAAGGGAGGTTTGGGTCCACCCTGAGTCCCCCATTTTTTATTTTTTTGAATATTCCCTATATTTTTACTTTTAGTTATTCTTTAACCAATTTTCCATGGGTTCGGCCAATTTGGATCACCAACCAAACCAATATAGTAGGGAGACCTTCACCATTTATTCTCAATTATAGACATCAGAGATTAAATAAAATACATTGGGATAAATGCGATCTACAATTAATCTCGAGTCTACTTATAAAAACTGAACCGAACCGGCAGTCAGATTAGCGAACTAGTGACGGACCCCTATTCGGCCCGATATGAGCACTCTATTGGTATTTTTTGAGAACTGTGGTTGACCGGTTGAGCCGGTTTGACCACCGGTTTTGCCATTTTTCTTGGATGAAGTGGCCCAATCCTTCACCTTACCTCTCTTGCTATTGTTTTCTTTCTTATTTTCTTTTTTTTCTATCTATCCTATTTAATTACACATTGTATTTTATTTCCAAAATCTTTTATTGAAAAGATCTCAAGATTTTGGCAAAAATCGTAATCCTAATTGATTAAAAGGAAATTGTTTCGTACTTGCCATTTTGAAATACATTCTTTCACTCGTTTGCTGCATTTTTTTTCTTTTTATTTAAATATTTTATTTTATTTTCTTTGGAATCACTTGGTTTCTCTCTCTTTAATGGGGGACAAAGGCCAATCTAGTTCTTCTTCATTGATGGACTTCCATTTTATAAATAATGATGTGATAGGTTCTCTTAATTTTTTTTGCACGCTGTAAAATTCCTATTTTTGACGGTTTTCAATGGTTTTGCCTAATATTTTTCTTATTTTTATTGAGTTAGGATGATTAGTTAATTTTTTAATTATTTATATAAATAAAAATTATTGTCTGGTCATATCATCAGGTGGACCACTTTTAATTGAACCAGGGCCTTCACTGGTCACTCATCTAGATTGAATAGTGAAGTTCTCCATTGTGTACCATATTTTAAAACTTGAGAGAGAAAAACTATATCAAATTTTAGATAAAGAAAGTATCTAAAATTTTTAGAGAGAGAAACCATTTGAAAAATTTTAGATAGAAAAACTATCTCAAATTTGAAGTTTTAAAGAGAAAAAGTATATTAAAATTTTAGAGAGATAAACTACATGAAAATTTTAGAGAGATAAACTATCTCAAAATTTAAGTTTTAGAGAGAGAGCATCTTAAAATTTGAAAAAGTAACTATTTTAGAATAAAAAAGTACCTAATATCTTAGAGAAAGAAACGATCTTAAAACGTTGAGAAAGAAACTATCTCAAATTTAAAGTTTCAGATAGAGAAAGTACTGTGAAATTATAAAGAGAGAAACTATATCATATTTTAGAGAGAGAAGCTACTTGAAGTTATTTAGAAAGATAAACTATCTGAAATTGTTTAACGAGAGAAACTATTTCAAAAAAATTATAGAGAAAAACTATCTCAAATTTTAAATTTTTGAGAGAGAAAGTATCTCAAAATGTTAGAGAGAGAAAGTATATCAAATTTTAGAGAGAAAAAGTATATAAAATTTTTAGAGAGAGAAAATATTTCAAAATTTTTAAGTAGAAACTATTTCAAATTTTAAGTTTTTGAAAGAGAGTATTAAATTTTAGAGAGAGAAACTATCATAAATTTTTTAGAAAGAGAGAGAGAATTTGCATTTCCAAAAAAAAGATATTCTAGACAATCTAAAGAGGGACTTTGCATTTTTTTGATTTCCACTAGATGCTGTCCAAACATGGAATTGACATTTCTAAAAAATCTCCATTCTAAGATTGGCTTTTCCTAAGATTAAAAAATCCACGATTCCAAAAGGGCCCTAAATAAACTAACTCCTAAAGTATTTTAAAAATGGGTAGAGGTACGGCTTCCCCACACTAGACTATCCAAACAAAAAAAACAAAAGGATAGGTGCCCTACCCTACAAATTATGTCTAGAGATAAGTAAAAAAGCTCACCCTTTTTATGTCTTTTATTTTGGGGAAATTTATTAAATTATATATGAAAGCCAAACGTTTTCACACTTTACTCACATCTTTTGATTTAATTTTACAATACCAATACAAAAATACGTGGCAACTTGGAATAATTATAAATAGGTAAAATGTTAAAGGGTGTGGATTGCAACCGTAAACAATCCAATTAAGGCGTACCTTCAAATTTGATCATAACATATAATTTTGATGTAAAATATTATTTGGATTATTTCAAAATCTATTTCTATATCTAATTATAAAATTTTAAATATCAAAAAAGGTTAAAATCAGATAGATCTATAAACATATGAAAATTTAAAAAATAGACGGTCTAAAAAATGTGTTGTAAGATGCACTATTACTAGGACTCAAAATCTTTTTTTCTTTCATAGTACTACATCTCGATGTTGAGATGCTCAATTAGAGGGTTTTTCAAAATAAAAAAAACATTTTTCAATGGATTTTTTAAGTGCATCCGTAGTTCTACATTTAATGGGTGTTTTGATAAATTGCTTTTCTTTTATATGTCATGCTCTTCATGAGGTGTCTAGTTGCAGGAAAAAAAAACATACATTAATTGTGATATTTACCTATGAAAAATATTAGTCTCATTGTATATAATCCTATAAAGAAAATGAGAAGTAGTGGAATGAAGCAACATACAACATTACTCAAATATCGGTTTTATGGGAAGGGGTAGGGTGTGGAACATACCCCATCCGTGGAGCTGAAACACTTGGTTTTGTCTTCTGAAGGCCAAACTTCCGCCAAACAAACACACCTTGGGAGTAAGTCTAGAGCTTGGAATAAGAATGTAAGGTCAAGTTAATTTTTATTGAGGTCTCTCATGCAAGGGATAAGACTTCTAAGATAATTTGACGGTGATTAGTGATGGAAAGGGACTCATGGAATTAATCCAATGGGCTAACACGAGCAAGAGGCATCCTTAGGAACTCAGGTAAGTATTAGTAAAATTTTGATTTTTTTCTAGAGATTACAAGCCAAAAATTTGAAAAAGTATACAAAGAGACCATTAATACAAGAAGGTCAAAATTACTCTTACCTAATATATTTCAAATCTGGTGATTGTCAATATGTCATCGGCTATATTCAAAGTGCAAAAAAAAAATCGAACTCTGTGTCTAATTTTAAGCCATCCAATTTGACATCTAATGACTGGTTGCAATTGTGACCTTCTTGTAACAAAGATAAATGGTTTCATAATATACAATCCTCAAAATCTTTATGCAGCAATGAAGGAAAAGGTTTTTACAAAGTGTCAACCTTATACTGTATGAGTAATATGTACCTAAGAAACGTACTAGATAAGGTTATTCCTATGTTAGAAAACCCTCAAATCGATCATCTCGACCTCGAGATTCATGGATACGACAAACAAGGGGTTTCCAGTCCTATAAATAGCTCATCTTTCTAACACATTATCTGGATGGTTTATTTATAAGATTTTCAAGTGTTTATAAATATGCTTGATCATCACCCTTTTAGGAATTTTAAATTTGATAATTGGGGGCAACAATAGATTTCACATCATCGCAAGGCTTTGGGGCACCAAAATTGCATTTTCAATATAGTTTTGTGGTGCACCTTATTTCAATAGTATAAGATTAGCGCCTATACAAATCTCACCCAACAATGAATTCTTAGACGCATACATCACTAATGAGAATAGGACGTGGTTAGCATGTGGCCAAGCCCGTACATGTAGAAATGTGAGCTTGGAAATAAATATATCTTTTAATTATAATTTGATCCTAATTTTTAGAGAATATATAACATTCAACATGAAGATCATGAATATGAAAAATAAATAAATTTTGAAAGCTAAAACTAATAATTATATTAACAAAACATTTGGGCCGTTAGTTACACTTGTTTTTAGATGGACCAGCTATTTGCATCCATCTTAAAGACAAATGCTTTATACTTCTAGACCGCATATTGTACAAATGCGGTCCAGCCCGCATGAAACAATTGTTCATGAAAATAAGATGCTTACATTAAAAAAAAAACACAAGATTTAGACTAAGGAATTTGTGTTAGGGTTAGGGTAATGTCAAAGGAAAGGGTTGGTACTAGAGCCTTTATAGAGGCAAGTGCTAGTTTTAGGGCACAATTGGATTCAAACTTGGAAAAGGCATGGATACCTTGCTTTTAACTTTCATTTAATGAATCCCTCTCCAAACAAGCCATTCCCCTCTTCATGTGACACTCAATAGGTGCCTTCCCAACTGTATATATACCAGACTAGGCACTGGCCTCTCATTGGGAATTTGCTGTTGTCTAAATTCAATTTCTCTAGGATTTCCACCCAAGTTTGCAACAATGAATCCTTTGGCTTTAACAGGATTCAAAGGTTAGTCATTCTTCTCCTTTCTCTTCTTCCATTGTGGTTATATTTAAAAAATGGATTGGTGACTGGGATTGGACATCATAAAAACCGATCCGGATTGATGAATCGGCAGTTCGGAACGCTGTTTTACTATGTGGAAAAATAGTGAACGGATGAAAAAACACACGCAAAGTAGTGAACCGGTCAAAAACAGGTCCGGATCGGTGAATCGGTGTTATTATTGTAGCAAAATGGCGTTATTAGCAAAATGTCGTTTTAATCTAGCAAATCGCTAGTTCTCTTTTAGTCCCAGACAATTTCATATATATTGATAGAATCAGCACTAGGTGATTGATTCCCGAGTCAAACTTGGCGATTCCGTGCCGACCAGGAATCTTTTAAATCATTGGATTTTTCACATTATCAAGAGATAAACCAATTATTGTTTCAAATAGAGAAGGTAAGCTCAATTTTGTAGACAATCAAGGTTGAGATTTTCAATTTTCCCAAATGTGAAGTGAAATATAGGGCTAACAGGCTAGTCGAGATGCTTGAATTAGAAAATAAAATCTTTGAGAAAAGTTTTGAGAAATAAGAAAAAGTAAAAGAAGTATACAATGGGTGAGGTTTGCACAAAGCGCCGACCTTATAATGTAGGAGTAGGGCGCATGTAGTTCCAATATGGGAAATCTAAAACCGCTTGTAAACGTATATTATCCCTAATTTTTTAAAATTTAAAACTTCAAAAATGGTACAGATTGAGATTGAGTAGATCTTTAAACACTTGAAAATCTTCAAAATGGATTGTCAAGATAATTTATTACGAGATGAAATATTTTTTAGAATTTGGATTTCTGTTTCCTCTTCATATCCGCTTATCTTGAAGTCGAGATGATCAATTTGAAGGTTCTCCAACTTTAGAACACCCTCGTCTACAGGATTTTTTAGGTGCATCTTACTTTAATAGTATAAAGTTGCAACTTTTTACAATTCTCCATGATAAAATATTCTAACTTTGGTTAAACAAAAGATCACATACACTATGGCTTCGTGCCAAATGACCTTGAACAGATAAATGGGAAAATATGAATTAAATAGTCAAAGGACCTAATAAAAAACTTATGAATATGGTCAAATAATCTCGTGTGGTCCAATAATCTCAATTAACATTAGAAATTATTGTTTTTTGGATTATATTTTAGTCAATTACCTCTTTAAAAGTATAATAAAAATAACCCAATTGCCCTTATTAAATATAAAGAACTCTAAACAACCAATAAACAACCAATAATATATTGGTAATTTAGCCCCCTTAACTGGCCCAAGTCAAATTGATGTAAGTATGGCTGTCTAGGGTTAGCAACATGGAGCTGCCAAAAGATAAAAATACATCTGATTGTTCATGGTTAGCGACTCAGAAGTCTTATTTTTTTTATTGTAAACCCTTGTTTCATGTTCCTAACCTTGAACAACCAAGGCATTTTCGTCCTTTGATCCAGCCAAAAATAATAATAAATACTCATGCGATGTATTTTTTTTTTGCTTTTATTTGTTCAGGATGGCGTTCGATGCCGGATTATTCGAATAAGATCTACAACAAGATTCTTAATGAGGCCAAAACAGGTGTTGAATTCGAGGAAGTTCATATAGCCGTTCTTGAAATTATCAAGTACTACATCTACCATTTTATAAGAATTGTACAATAAAATTGTTTGCCTTTGCTTAAAAAAGTCACAATCACTTTAAAATGTTGAACGTGAAATCAGTTGGTTGGGGATGTGCCATTGATCATGCTCAAAACTCAAGAAATTTTTCTCTGTTGTAAGGAGAAGTGATATGCCTCAGCCGTTGAATTTCACATATGACAGCTTGAGGTGGTTGTGAACTTTGTCTACATAGAAGTAGCAGTATCACCATATTTAGTCCTTTTTCTATATAATCCCTTCTATTAATATCATAAATCTCCTTATACACTTTGTGCTAATATCATCTTGAAATTTAAGGAAAAATAGATTTTGTAGCAATATTTTGAAACTGTGATGGCTTTGTGTGACAGCCAATTCAACAAAGTAATGCCAGGCACTCATTTCGATCCACCCTCGAGGAAAGTTGTGCAAGTGAGTTTTTTTTAGCCTAGTCTATATATATATATATATATATATATATATATACTACGTACAACAATGTACTTTTTGGTATACAAGAAAGTACGACCAACCCTAGTTATTAATTTAACTAACGTTACTAGTAACTAAATAAA